CTAAAGTAAGAGAGTGGGGAAGATGAAGAAATGTTTGTTTATTTTGATTGTTAAAAAGTGTCCGGGAAATTGACCCTTCCGGAAAAGGGACGTCCGGATATGGGACGTTACACTGTAGTTAAAAGGTAAATTTAAAACATATATACATCAGAGGCGACAAATAAATATGAAATCAATAAAGTGAAGAGAATCCAAATTTTAACCACTCAATCTCAAGACTATTCAGACCACAAAAAAGATTGAAAACCAGTTTATTTGTCTACCGAGACAGTTCACAATTCAGTAAGAGCTGCCTTCTAGCTTCATACTTTGAAGGTCTGATTTGCAGTTTGATTTTGTGAGGTTCGAATCAATCCTTTAAATATTAAAAATTTATCTCAAATTGCCCACATTGTTTTAAAAGTAAAATGAAGCAGGTGAGATAATAAATAAAAAAAATTTAAATCATAACTTGACCTGCTAACATTGTCTACAAGCTAACAAGACCTTTTTTGCATCACAGTTTTGTGTGCGTATATAAATACAAGGCTAGTATCAAGTAACAACATATGGCTCTCTAGAAATCATACCATTTGAGTGAAAGAAATAAAATTTAGTACAGAGACATTATGAACTCAAGAATACTGTCAAAAATGATTATATAGCTCTCACGGCTACAGCAGTAGAGACAAAAGTTTTAGCACAAGAAATTGGGACAATATGCTTTTGCCAACTATCAACATTTTTCATGAACACTAATGAGAAGAGAGTGTGTTAAAAACCTTTAAAAACAGAGAAAAATTACAAAGAAAGCATTAAAAAATTATTAGTATGTTTGTCTTCACATGCCCATATTTTTCCCTAATTTTAAAAGTCACACTTTTTTCTTGTTAGTGGTCATGAAAAATCAACATATTGTAAAAATCTAGAGATACAATTTCGTTTTATCGTTGTAACTATATTTTTGGTTTTTTAATGCAAGGATTGTTTTGATAAAATAAAAAGTGTGTCGCCATTTGAAAATTTCAAAAGATTTGTCACTGTAACTATAACAGTGAGGGCTATGCAATCATTTTAATCATCATTCTTGAATGCAATAGATCACAATTCCTATGTACAAAATTTTATTCAGTTCACTCAAAACGATTTTCTCTCCAGAGAGGTGTAGGCAAAGTTATTTTATAATCACCCGGTATATATATTACTTTCAGTAAAAATTTCAATAGCTGCATGCTGAATCCTGTTGTTTACCACTTTTGACATGTAGTATGTTATAGTTTTGCAATTCCTGATTTAGACACGAGGTTTGAATTCTGAAGAAACGTTGAGCAAAAAGTCATTCTTTTGCAAACTAATTCGATTTTTGCAATTCAAATTTGATTTATAACTTTTTCAAATGAATATTGTTTGGACTTATGAAATATTTAATTTAAAGTGCAAAACCTGTATTATAATTCAGAAAAAGCTCTAATCACTAAGAAATGATAAAAAGCTCCAATGACTTTAATATAATACAATACAAATAAACTAATAAAAATTACATGATTGTACAACTAAATCCTGTAAATATAGTAGCAGGAACCAAGCCTTCATTTAATTTATTTTGTGTTTCTATTAATAATGAATTTTCTTTATTTTTCAACATCCAGTCTGGCATTGGTGAATTCCAATTATCTGGAGGACTCTCTCTATCTCGATATTCCCATACATCATTTAACTTAACAGCATCTTCCCTGAGTTTTGCTCTTTCTTTTTCACTTTCGATTATAGGTTCCTAAAATTATTTATAATGATTAATATAAGAAACATATTGAAATAATACACTGAACTATACATTGAAATGTATGAAAATTACTTAAAACAAAATAATCTCAGTAGTTTATGATAGTTTTACCTTGATGCAAAAAGCACAGTCAGTGTTCAAAATTAATTGTAAGATGTTGGCTCGATACCACTAAAACCCATCTTAGACCAACATGAAATAACAACCAGTGGTCCCTCGGATTACTGACCCATAACTGCTAATCAAATGTAAATTAATTGTATTCTAATTAAGTTTTTCCTTTCCTTTTTTTTTCTTTGATGGGGGATTAAATTTTAGTTTTTCCTTTTTTTCATCACAAATCCATTCAAATTGCACATTCTCTGTAATTGTTTCAGTTGATTTCTCACTTAAACTACTTGAGATGTCCCCACGTCAAAAAAAAATTTTTTTGGTGTTGTTTTCAAGAATAAACTATGAAACTGACAAAGACAATATAGATATTATTAATCACTATGATGTAAACTACACATTAAAAAAATTATTGATCTTCATTGGTGGAGGAGGACATGGTTAAGAAATTGAGACTATTAGGGTCATCAGTAATAGATTACCTGGCACTGCAAATGTTTTAAAACAAAAAATTCAAATAAGAGAAAAATTTAAATAACCCTTTGAAAACAAAAGTTTGTTGTTTATGTGACTTAGCTTTGCAAAAATCTTATATTATTTGTGATGTCACAGAATAGTTAGAAAGCTAAAAATTGATCATTCTGAATTTCTAGTGCACAGTTTATTTAGCAATATTTAAACAGCAGAAATAAAACTTTTTGCCTTAAAATATGAACTTCAAGAAATCAGAGGTAATTTTTTGCATGAAACTTTTTTATTAGATAAGGAAACTACTTGTGTACAATATCTAAAATAAGTAAATATGATGTAAAAGACTTCACTGATAAAGGGATTTATTTTTCTGATAGGGAAAGCTATAATTCGAACATATCAGTCCTTATTGACACTGATCAGTCCTTATTGGCATGAGATTGGCAATAGACAATAGACTGACAATTCTAAAGACAATGCTATCAATGATTTATTTATAGAGTTGAAAGCTAAATTAGGAAAAACGCAATTTTAGAAAAAACTAAGCATCTCAAACAAACAAACCTCTTCTCATTTTTAAAGCTAACTAATTTTTATGATATAAAATTAAATTTAAACTTGAATAAAAAACATAATTGTTTATTTATTTGAAATAGTTTTATCATTCATAATTCGTAAGTTTCTTATTACGCGTAATTATATCAGTTAAGATCATTTTTATTGGCGATAAATTTTATTCATCAATCCTCTTTTCACGACACCGGCACAAGTGACATTTCCGTACCAAAAAAATGCCAGTGATTAAATTTAAAATTGTTTGCTAAAAATCATGTACCTTCAATATCATTTTGAAGTCAATGAAGGTAACCCCTGGGAACAGCCAACCTCCATTAACACCCATTTTATTCTAGAAGAGAGAGTAGTCGCTTCTGTGAGGTTTCACTGTATCAATAATTTATTAAGAAAATTATTTCTATTTATTCATTTATTTATTAATTTTTAAATTTTGCCTCATAATTTTGTCCACACAGTTTTATTACTTAACTAATCTTATTATGGAAAGGGATTGCATATTTTTATTTAAAAAAAATTTCCATTCATAACAAGTAGTTTTACTTTATTTAAAAAAAAATTATGAATGGAATATTAAATAACTCCAATAAAAAAGTTAGAAAAAATGCAAAACTGAAATTAAAACTCATAAAAAGTTCAGATTTCTGAAATCCATTTCAAAAGTATACTATTTCACCCATCAGTTCAAGATGTTGCTCCTCCCTTTACAGACAAGCATTATATATATATAGGTGTAATAAATCCCATTAAAAAAAAAAACTTACCAAAAATTTTGTGTCTTCATTTTTCCGAAACTGTAGACAGTTTTTGTAATCTATTTGCCACTGCGAACAATCTGTCCGTTCCCCAAAAATAAAATACTGATGAAATTGAGCCTTTAGACCTGCAGCAAGCAAAAATAAAGTAATTTATAAAACTTCTAAAAAATTCAGTAAATCATTTATAACACTACTTGAACAAATACTTTCATAAATTTCATAAATAAAATGACATCTAATAAGATGTACAGCAACAAAAAAGATTTCAGTCCACTAAAAAGCAATCTACCAGGAAAAAACGAATTTTATTATGAAAAAAAAAATCGAAAATATTTCAATCAACAATAGTACAACTAGATAAGTAGAGACTGAAAACTGCTTACCTATTTTTTCTTAAAAAATGCATAAGGCAATATTTTATGAAGGTCAATCTGCTGTGCAATAGAAAAATCAAGGCAATTCACAAAAAATTCAAAATTAAGATTTTTATATATTTGGCATTTTTGTATGATAAGAGCAACATACGGTAAAAACTTTTTTTTCCTCAAAAAACAAGTTTGCTTTATTAGTTTTCGGAAACTCTATTATAACAGTATTAACATTAGAATAGAAAAGAAATACAGTACAGAACCCGTTATCCGGAAATCAGAAAACCGGAAAACCAAAAAACCGGAACGAAATTCGATAAATTTTCCCGCCATTTAAAAAAAAAAAAATTTTTTTTCCTTATAAGATTTTAGGATTGTTCGTTCTTTTTTGAAAGATGTTTACCTTACCATCATTTTGGAAATAATCATTAGTGTATTACTCCATCGTTTTTTCTTCTTTTTAAGATTATTTCCAAAAAAAAAAAAAATTTTTTTTTAGTTGGGTTTAACATTAAAAAAAGCGGCTTTTTGTAGCGATTCAGAAAACCGGAAAAATCAGTTATCCGGAATANTTTCCATTAACTCATTACAATTACAACTTATCAACTCTTTAAAAATTTCCCACTATACTAAGTGGTTAAAATTAAACAAAGAGGCTAGTAGCTCTAAAGGAGCCAATTGCAACTTCATATATATGTTATGAAGCTCGTTCATAGTAGATTTCCAATGGAAAAAAATAGTTGGCAGATTTTGCCTAAAAATTGTGCTATAAATAACCCTATTTCCTGGCAACAATTAGATGACCTTTTTGATCTAAAATGTACATTTATACAGGCTTCAGACTAAAAAGCTGACAGAATAATATACTTCACAACTGACCAAATAACATACTTCATTTACCTAACCAAAAAAAATAAAAATATTGCACAAAAGCACCTTTGAACTGAAATTTATTATTGTCTTATAATAAATAACATGGAAAGAACAGTGCTGTAGTTGAGGGTGAAACTTAGGGGAATGATATTTCCGGAAATATTAGGTTTGTTGTAATAAAAAAAAATTTTTAAATATATGAACAAATTTCAAACCAATTTTTTTCCATTCGTTTCCATTACTTTTTTTACAAAGTGAAAAAAAATTTTATTGCTCTGTTCTGGGAAAACACTTTCCCACTTCTGTCAAGAAGTGTGGTGCTGATTGTACTAATCATGATCAAAAGTGCTAGAAAGCTTTTAAATCTGATTGGTGCAAGTGTGGGACTCATTAGCAAAAAGACACAATGAGAACAGAAGAATAGTCCAGTTAAAAAAAAAGTAATAAGTTTGGAAATGCTTATAGTGCCTAAAAAATTTTAATGTAGCTAGAAAGTAAAGTAATGAAAGTAAATATTTGAGGTGCATTTATCAGTATTGAGTTAGAACAAATTTTCTTTCTAGAAAAGATTTTGAAAATGAAGAAAAGCTTAAGTTATCTATTTTATTTACTTATTCTAGCTTGAATTCAATGCAGGGAATTATCCTCAGCATATCAGTAGTCTTTTAAAAATACTTGTGATTCCAGTAAAACTTATAAGAAAAAAAAATTATATATTACAGTAAATTTTATTAACTTTATTTTAATTGCTTTAATCTATGTTTTAAGCGTATTGAAATCAAACATGCGTATTTTAGTTCCACATTACAAAAACAGGAATTAAATTTTATAAATACATATAAAAATAATTTTTCGCCACAGCGAAATGCCTATTTACTCAAAGAATAAAAATGTTGAGAAAAGACATCAACATTTATGTCACTTTAATTATTCAATAAATAATTAAAATATGAGCGTTGAAATTTCTTTTAATTTTGCATAATTATTTTTTAATTCTTTAGCTTTAGTAAAACAAAAAAGTTCAGTTTAATGCTATTTGTTGAAATTATGTGACTAAATTAAATTACATTAAGTGAACATTTAAGTATAAGCACATAGAATGTAGTGATGATGAACAGATATATTTTTAATTGACTAGATTCATAAAAGTGTTGATTCGTTTTCGGCGATACAAAATGCTTAACCTGAGATTTTTTTACCTATTTTAATAAAAAAAAAATTTAATCAGAAATGTATAATGCATTCATTTTATTATTTGAGAATTCTTTGCAAGCACTGACAAATAGTTTACAGAAATAAGAAGAAAAATTAACTACAGTACGACCTCGAAAATCCGGACTTCTGAAATCCGGAAATCTCTAAAATCCGGACTCATACGTCCAGTTCCTCAGAAAAAAATTTCAAAAGAAAAAATTTTAAAAAAAATTGCTTAAAATAAAAATTTTAATGAAAAACCACAACTCTTCTCCAACAATGAAGCAGTAGATGAAGAGGTAGAGGTGGTGAATTAATGAAAGCTCATAGCTGATAAGGAAATTCCAATCATTCTTATCAGCTCTGTATAGATAACAAGGAATATAAAGGGGAATCCCCCTCCTCCTGAAGGGGAATCCCCTCAGAAGGAGGAATTCTTCCATCTCCTTGTTTTTCCCCCTTGTGATGAAAGAAAACTGGTTCTTTCTTAACCTTGAAGCTTAGGAGGCGAGGACAAGTTCTTTCATCCCCCAACAAAAAAAGGATTAGTATCAGCTGGTACAGTCTAGTCTAGAAGCATCTGTTTCGGTTATAAGTTGAAATTCAGCTCACGTTTTAAGTCTATATTTTTAGTTTTAATTGCTAATATTATGTTATCTAAACGATCGATTGCGGGGAAAATGACGAAAGTTTGATTTTTAATGTCTTTTATTTATTATTTAAAGAGTATATTTATGTTAAATTGATGTCGGAGGTCTACACATGCGTGATTAATTGCGAAATCAGCCTGGCGAATTCGAAACTTCGATAATTCTATCAATTCAAGTAAGGTATCTAAAATCCGGACCTTCCAAACCCCCCAGCAGTCCGGATTTTCGAGGTTGCACTGTATAACCATATTTTGTAAATACTATGTAACAGAAAAAGAAATTAAAAATTATAAATTTAAAAATAATTTCTAACTACCACAAAATTCTTATTTATTCAAAGAATAATATTGAGAATAGGTATGAGAATAAATGTGTATTTAAATATTTAATAAATAGTAAAAAAAAAAGGTGAAATATACTGCATTAGTAAATATTTCTTCAATTCTACTTTTTAAAAAAGGGCAAAATTAAATTACATTACCTGATATTTTGAAATTTATCACATAAATTGTAACAATGATGAATAGAATTATTTTAATGGACTAGATTTATGTAAACACTGATTTATAATAAAATCATCCAATCTATACCTAAATGCTACTTCTAACCAATCTGCGACTGATTTTAATTAAGTAATTAGGCTGTAATTGATCATTAATTTAACTTAAAAATAAGTGAAATAAAATAATATTTGTGAATTTTAACACTACTGATTTCAGCAAAGAAGAGTTCTCTGTTGATTCTCTGTGAAGAGCTGCATAACCATTTCTTCATCTATTTTAGTGATAAATAAACAATTTGAAGTTTTAAAATCATTTCTCCATTTTGCACACACTCTCTAAACTGTAAATTTAATTCACAAAATTTTTACTAATCCGGGCAGGCTAATAATATATAAAAGATGTTCATACGATATAAGTGATACCAAAACTATAAGAGCATTAAAACACCCTTAGCAGATAAAGAAGGCATGTTTCCATTCAGCACATGTGATGACATAACCAATCAGGGATCCTTTTTGATTGCATCACTTACAGAGGCCTTTTTGAGCAATTCCAATGCTTAATTTTTAATAAACATTTGATGAACAATAAATAAACATTTGATGAAAAAAACAAGACTTTCGGATTCTGGAGAGAATTTCCAGTAAGTTAGGATTAAAAATAAAAATATTTAAGAGATGCTGTAATTGTCCATTTTGTTCAAGCAATAAAAAAAGAGTGGCTCATAGACTTCACCCACTTTTTATTTGAATGAAGACACTTTTAAAGTAATGTGTTATTACAAATGTGAACTTCTCTTACTGTTAAACTCTAACAAAACAAATCTGTATCGTACTTTTTTTTTGTATTATGCATATACAGTCGAACCCCGCTATAGTGAACCGTCTGCAGACTCAGTAATGTGTCCACTATAACCGATGGTTCACTATATCCAAATTTTTTGCATAAGACAGTTGAATGATTGAAAATTGGCTTTGCAATTTTGCATAAGTTATTTACAAAATTATTAACTAATTAACAGATATAAAGCAAAAATTGATGAAAAAAGTAATTACGTCGCTAAATATTAGTTTTATTTTCACTTTTTATGAAAAAAATTTGTGATTTTTGATTGAACACAATTTGATTTTAAATTGAGTTCATCAATTTTCTTATCTACAATGTGCAAAGAATGCAAGATTTTTACATTTTGAACAAGATTTCGAACCATCTTAACAAAGCATCTTCTACGTTTTCTCTTTCAGCTCCACGCAGTTTTTTCGATGAAACCATGTTTTTCGTTAAGAATCGAATTCAG